ATTTTTTTGGCTGTATATTTTGTATGCATTTAGGCTTGCATTTTGGATGAAATAATGAGGATATTGGAGGTTTTTGAAAGTTTTTTCAGTTAAATATTGTGGTTGCGCTCTTAAATAGAATCCTATAATTAGTCCATATTTTATCCTGTTACAGTGGTGGGAATAAAAATTGAAAAGATAATGTTATACTTGATGGTAGATTTTCTGTAAAGCTCCATATGAAGGTCATTATTAGTTCTATGTATTACGATGTCTAGGAAGATAAAGTTTATTAAACTACACATTCAAAGATAAAATCGAATGTGTCTCTGACGGTATTAAGTTTGTTGTCAAGATAGGATAAAACTATGTTTTGTGAAGATTTATGTACGTCTCTGAAATTTATATGTTTGATACAAATTAAAAGGTTTACTCTTGTTTATAAATAATTGTGTCAAAATAAAATTCTTACATTTGCCTTGATAAATTGCAGCAGAGGACGAAAAGCATCCGCAAATTTAAGTTTTCTTTTTGTTTTTATTCATATTGTCCTTTTGTAGATATATATTTTATATATATATTAGATCTCACTTTTTTTTCTTGAAAGCCAAATTTATTCAATTTCGTGTCGTAGATGATAAAAAGCAAAGTTGTCTCGAATGTGCTTGCCGACAGACAAACTAAACAATTTGAAAAACGCATATTCAATCAAAATAACTTTTGAAAGAATAAAAAATATGTTGGATGTAAAATATACATTCATTAAATCTTTCGAAACATATATATATATATATATATATATATATATATATATATATATATATATGAACAGATACGAAGAGTGTGTGTTTACGATATACTTTGAATTCTAATTTATTATTATTTTTAATGAGTAGTATGTCTAAAAAGGGTAAAGAATTATTCACAGATAAATTCTATAGTAGGTCCTATTTTATTTAATCTATCAGTAATCTCGTTTAAATTTTATTTATCTACCCACATAAACATGATTTAAACGAGATTACTGATAGATTAAATAAAATAGAACCTACTATAGAATTTATCTATGAACTTGAGTCTAATAATGCTTTAACTTTTTTTAGACATACTACTCATTAAAAATAATAATAAATTAGAATTCAAAGTATATCGTAAACCCACATGTAAAAACGACTATTTACACTTTTACTCTCACCATGATACTAACACTAAGAGGGGTATTATTATTGGATTCTACTTAAGGGCTCTTTGTATCTGTTCAGCAAAAATACTTAAATGATGAATTCAGGTATATATATATATATATATATATATATATATATATATATATATATATATGTGTGTGTGTGTGTGTGTGTGTGTGTGTGTGTGTGTGTGTAATGAAAAGGATTACGTCCGACAATTATTTAATATATTTTCTGTTTATACGTTATTTTTATAGATACAATTTATTTAAGTAAATGTCCTGTGTTTTTAATGAAATAATATTAATTAGATTTACGACCTAAATGTTCAAAGAATTTTGTAGAACTATGTGTTCTCGAAACTGTATCCCACTCTGGAAATCTTCATTTGATTGGATTTAATGTACCTTTTAGCTACAGAAGAGCCTCTTGTTAGGAAAGACCAAATGACTGTTTTCTCCAAATATCATATCTGCTCACGAAATAGATTTCAGAGGCGTTCGATTAAAAATTTGATTCCTGTCTAAAACGCATATTTTCTACGAAATTTCTCAATCATTCAGGCCGAAAAAAAATAAACAGAAATTTATAAACAGAAAATATATGTGTGTGTGAGTGTGTTACAGTGTGTGTGTGCGGAAACCTCTTTTTGTGTGTCTCGAAACCAAAATATTTTAACATAAATATAAGAGAGAGGCTGATACTGATATTCATCATTTTATTCCCTGCTATATGTGCTCTGTCTGTAACTGTAAACGCTCTAAATACATGCATATATATATATATATATATATATATATATATATATATATATATATATATGTGTGTGCTTATATATATATGCTTATATATATATATATGTATATATATATATATATATATATGTATATAATTAAATAATACATTTTAGATGCAACAAGGGTGGTCTTCAGTGATGCACTGTTCACATCGCTGATTTCGGGTTTCGCATCATATCGACTCCAACGGCAACCCCGACCTGATTCTAAACGAGTCAGGCCGCCTCCTTGAAAGCGTCGTGCTACGCACCGCGACATTGCAAAAACAGTGTTCATAATAACTAGCAAGGCCGGACATCAACCGTTCATGTCACTCAACGTCAGCCAATGAAAACAGGGCTTTTCACGCTCCTCTCCTATATAGTGTTGTCTTTTTACTTCATCAGGTTTAGCTTTGATCTACTACTTCCGGAATCCATAACGAGTTGAGGTGGTATCTTTATTGCATAGGTTAATCCCATGTTTTACATATTAAATGCTAATCCCATAGCGATATTAAGTCATTATCTAAAGCTACACGCGTACCCAACCCAAATCGATCCTATACTAGCACTTTCTAAAAAAGCAAATTCAGTATTCTAACTATCAGGACATAGCTGTAACTTTTACCTTATCCACTTATCCAAACAAAATAGCACACACACAAAAAAAACACCTACATGTACGTTCCCGCATCCACACATAAATGTAAAAATACGCACACGCATATGTAATGACACTCGTCCATAATTTCTATCCCTCATTTACTTTAATTTCGTATCCAATCACTACAAATTAACTCTAATTTATTTAGTTTTCTTTCCCCAAGTTTGTCATTTCCCACTAAAATAATTCGATGGCTTAATAAAAATAAATAAATACTATACATAAATAAATATTCTATCTATTCAATTAAGTAACCTATACACATATTTAGAATCTGATACATATTACTCACAATAAATCTACTCAATTAGTACTAGTATCGACTCCCGAAATTTCCAGTCTATTATTACTACGATACTATATCTTTCTCTCCTATTACATTCATGATAATTATGCAAGTAGGCTTTAATATTGAAATAAAACCGCAAATAAAATAAAATAAAAATAATGGCAATCAGTATCCGAAAATCAAAACAAATTCCTGTCCATGCCCCCCACAATACACCAACGATTCACAACCCCTATCCATATCAGTTTGACTACCCTAACTTATATTGCCTCAATATTCCTTTTAACGTGTAACACGTCTGCTGAGTATGATTGTGAGTTTTCCCTTATCGTCCGCATTAGTACTTCCATGGCTCTCATCTCCAAATCCATTTTGACGCTGTAAGAACTGCTCTGGTAATTTTCTCCCGTGCTCTCGCCCTAACTGCCCCTACTATGCCTATTTTTGCTAGGACTTTGCACAACAACCGCCCAGCAAAGTCCCTGCAACCAACTTCAACGGGGTCATAGTGTATCTTCCATGACTTCTGCCGACATTCTTCGATAAGTTCCTGGTATTTGGACCTCTTTTTCACATTAGCTAGTGTAATATATTCCTCCCATGACACAGACAGTTCCCAAATAATGCACTGCTTTGTGTTGTTGGTTGGCAATATCAGATCCGGTCTGTGCGATGTTACGGCTATGTGTCTGGGGTCTCTAGGTCCACTATCAACTGCCAATCGTCTGCGGAAGATAACAGATAACTATCTCTCCTCTGTTTCTGTCTCTTCCCGCCAGCTTTTGCGAAGTTAATCTGATTAAATTTCTTCCCTGGTTAATGATTACTAGCCCTTATAGTTTTAGTCACCTCGTTCTCAATTGCTTTGAATACTTGGTCGTGATGCCAATGGTACCGACCATCACCGAAAGCTTGTGGGCAACTACTGAGGATGTGTTGCAAAGATCCTTTCCTTGCACATATCTGGCAATTGGGGGTGTCACTATTCCCCCATATATGCAGGTTCGTTGGTCTCGGCAGGACACCATATACTGAATTGATGAGAAATCGAATCTCGCTAAAATCCGACCACCAGCAATCTGACCATGTAATTCATTTCTTTTCTACATTCTCCCATTTTGTCCAGGCTCCTTGCTGACTTAGACCGACCATTTTACAGTAACGTGCTTCTTCTACGCCCGCACGGACTTCTTCTTGGATGAGTTGGCGTCTTTCTTTGCCTTTGGCAATGTTGGTTTGTGGACAGGGGAAAAACCCGAATCCCGCTTTGACTTTAGCTATTGACCCTAATATAGCTTTATGCCTAAGTCTCTCCTCCGCCACTCGCAACTCTCCTTCAGCGCTCCATTTCCTGCCAGATCTTGTCTGAATTCCTGCTGCTGCCAATTTTGGATCTTTAGATTTTGCATGTTACAGCCGATATATATATATATATATATATATATATATATATATATATATATATATATATATATATACATATACAGAGAGAGAGAGAGAGAGAGAGAGAGATATTAAAACAAAATTGTAATTTTTGGTGGGATTTAACAGATAGGGGGCAAGTTAACCCAGGCAATGATCTCTCTCTGCTTAACTTATCTCTTAATACTTTTACTCCAATTACGCATTACACACGCGCATGCACTCAAAAGCAAGACACACACACTTATATATATATATATATATATATATATATATATATATATATATATATATATATATATATATATATATATATATGCGTTATTACTTTTCTTTATTTATTGTTGGTGTTTAAAATCTTTAAGTGACGTGGTTTGTAATATATTTTCTTTTGTGATTTTGTTGTACAACAACCGTTTTTTCTCAGACAAGTTAGACAATCGTATCGGGCTAATGATCCCTGTAGGTATTTCACTAGCACCAGCAACAACAGCTAAAATGTACACATACACACACATACACACACACACAAACCCACGCATATATATATATATATATATATATATATATATATATATATATATATATAGGGAGTAATTGTGATAAATGAATTAAGCCAAAAGTTACATACAGTGAGATCATTCACTGGATTAAATGATAGTTGGTAACCAAGATACCTGTTAGTCAGTAACATATTTTTTGTGATAGAATGTTAGCTACAAATATAAAATGTAAAAAAAGTTTAAAAAACAGATAGATAGATAGATAGATAGATAGATAGATAGATCGTGAATTTTTATATATAAGCCCGTGAGGACATCCGCTGGGAAATCAACGATAATTTTCTTTTTAACAAAAAATAGTTACTACTTACTAATCTAACTTTACGCATGTGAATGTTGACTCATCTCATATTCATATATTTCAGCATATATATATATATATATATATATATATATATATATATATATATATATATATATATATATATATATGTGTGTGTGTGCGTGTTTGTAAGTGTGTGCGTGCTTGTGTGTGTGTGTGTGTGTGTGTTTACGTGTGTGGGTCAGTGTGTTTGTGTGCCTGTGCGTCTGTGCAAATTGTTGTTAAAAAATATTCAACCCAGCCAAGAATCTTTTAAATAATATAGAAAATTTGTACATGTCCGAGAAATTTTCAACCCCTCTTTATACATGCATATTCTGTCTTAAATATGCTTGTATTTTGTAAAATATATATATATTCGCACGCGTACACACACACTTACACGCACACACAGAGACACACAGACGCACACACACATAGCTATCTATCAAATCTCTATATATGTATATATATATATATATATATATATATATATATATATATATATATGTATGTATATATATATATATATATATATATATATATATATATATATATATATAAAAGACACTGTGCTATATATGTATGTATAAGATTGTTTATTTATGTCTGAAGAAGTAAGGGTGCAGTGTTTGATTATTTATGATACAGCAGATAACATTTCAAAATTAGCATCAAGAAGATCGCTAAGACGATACAAAATTGTGGTAAAAATATGGCGAATGTGGAAGGAAGGAAAGCAAAAACGAAAATATTCGGAAAAAGAAAAAAGTAAGAATGGAAAATTAAAGAATAATCAGATGAGCGAAGGAAGAAATTATTACGAGCAACGAAATCGTCTGGTATCTATGAATGAAAGGATGTATAGAATGGCGAAAAAGGGAAGAAAATTAGAATGCGCAGATGTTCAAGAACATCAAAGAGTTAAATAAAGAAAGCAAAAAAGCAAGAACGAATAAATTGTTTCTAATGGAAAAATGAACACAATGTAAAATTAAAATACCAGAATGAAAGAAAGAATTCAATGAAATTCGCGAAAAATATGTAGCAAATAAATAAAATAAGAATTAAATCAAGAATCCGGGAAGATAAATGAAGAAATCAAAATTTTTATCATAAACGTAACAATAATAAAAAAATTAATGAAGGATTTAAAAAAAAAAAGAAATACTTGACAGAAAAATTACGAAAGAAAGTAACAAAAAATAAATACTTGACAAAAAATTAAGAAAGAATGCAATATAAAAAGGAATATTTGACAAAAATTAAGAATGAAAGCAACAAAAGAGAAATAATCGACAAAAAATTAAAAATAACAAAATTAAATTCTTGACAAAAATTTAAGAAGCAACAAAAATAAATTCTTGACAAAAAAACATAAGAAATAAAGAAAGCAAAAAAAGATATAATTGACAAAAAATTAAGATAGAAAGAAAGCAACAAATAATGGCAGACAGTAAGACAGACAGAAAGCAAATGCATGAAACAACGAAATACAAAGGACGCCAGATAAGATTGAATGATGAAAAAGAGAGAAACGAAAATGAAAGAAAGAATGAATGAAAGAAAGAAAGAAGGAAAATCAAGAAACCATGAAACGGATCAGAAATGTAGGGAGAAAAAATGTAAGTCAGAAAAGACGGAATGATGTAAAAAGACAAATACGTACAAGAATGTAAGAAAGAAGGAAACTAAGAAAATAAAAGAAAGCAACGAACAAATCAATGAAAAATATAAGAACTCTAGAAAGGACAGTCGACTCAATAAAGAGTTACACGAAAAAAGAAAAAAAGAAAAAATGAATCGTAAAGAAACTCATGAAAGGAATTAAAAATCAAGAAAGCAGGAAATGATGAGTGGTTATCTCCACATCAATTTGCACATATTTTCCGTGTTTCTAAGGCGTCCAAATATCAACAGAAACTTCAGGAACCACAACAGCAACACTATCGTAGCAAGTGTGTGGCCCTCTAGTCCACAAGCGCTCACATGCACTAGAGAGCAATGGGATCAATACATGGCAGCATGTGTCGTTTCCTTTCGCATTCTTCTTCTTTTATGTGCCGTATCCCTTCAGGACGTAGTCGATTATGGCTCTCCACTTCCCCCATCCATTATAGCTCTCAATATCTGTCTATATTTCTGAGATGAGTTATTATGTACACATTTACATTATTCGGACTATTATCCTAATCTTTGTCGCCATGTTTATCACAACGTTTCGGCCGTTGTACGCTCCGGCATTCTTCAGGTGGTTGGAATGTCGAACTGAACCCTTTACTTTGCTCATTGGGGTAGACTGTTCTAGTTCCACGTGCCATGTTTAATGGATGTCAGTTATCAGTTATCTCCTGTTAATTTTCCCTATGAAAGTTCTCCACTGCCTTAACCGGGTATTGAACTCACACTCTTTGGTTCCTGTCACTGGCACAGAGGATAAAGTCGTTAGTTAGATCCAGTGACAGGACCCAAACAGTGTGAGTTCAATACCCGTGGAGAACTTGGAGAAGGCCGGAGCGTACAACGGCCGAAACGTTGTAATAAATATGGCGGCAAAGATGAAGATAATAGTCCGAATAATGTAAATACTGTAGCTCTCAATATGTTTTATACTTTTTCTACTTTTCCCAAACCTTGCTCTCTCATGCACTTGTTTAAGCTTGCTAGGTATGTCACGCGTTGCTTTCCCTTGGTTCTTTCCCCCTATCCGCACTGGGAGTATCAGATTCTCCAAGCCCTCCTTCCTCCTGTGTCCCAGGTATTACAACTGCCTCTTCCTGATGTGAAGTATAAGCTTCTTCTTTGTCTGCATCCTCTGCAAAACCTCATCGTTGCTCAAATATTCGTTCCATTGTATACTTAGCATACTTCTGTAGAATAATAGCTCTGTTGCCTCTAGTCTGTTCATCTTCGAGGAGACCTTCCAACATTCGCTGTTTTAAAGGAAGACAGATACCACGTACCCGTTCAGTACACTTTTCTTTGGTAACAACGAAATCTCCTGCAATATTCTGCATAGCTTTTGGAATACTTCTTTGGCCATCACAATACGTTTTCAGATCGCAGCATTGCACTTAACATCCTCTGTCAGAATACTTAACAGATGTTTAAATATCTGCACCTAGAGTTAGTGTCCCCGGCCTGTAAATCGCATTTCGGGCTCATCTTTTTACTGCTGACCATGCATTCTATCTTCATATAGTTTATGCTTAGTCACTTCTTCTCGTTTTCCTTCACTGACTTCTGTAGAAACTTTTGTAAATTTCTTTCCGTGTCTGCTATAAGCACTCTTTCATCTGCCTATTTTATGTTGTTAAGATTTTGGCTGCCACTTTCTTATTTTGCCTACTGTTTATACCAGACGAGATTCTCACGACAGATTCTGGATTTTTTATCAAATAAATTTCATCCAGTTTTACCTTTAATTAAAGAAACTCCTGTCATTTTGATTACTGAGCAGGTCTGCAGATTACATACTTATTATTTTATATGGTTTAATATTTTGTATTTTAAAACTGGTTTTGTTAAAATGTTTGAAATATTTAAGTCTGAAATTAGATTGTATAATTCGCAAGAAGAATCAGTGACGATCAAATTCGTTGTACGAATGAATTTTAATATTTAAAATAAATTTCCTTTTCGCATTTTATCAGACCAGACATAATTTTTAACACTTTCTGAAAATCTGATTTCAAAACACGAGAATATTAGAACGTATTTATTACATAAATTTTTTCCTAAGTAACTACTGAATACCAAGAGAGTCATATAAATGACAAAATCTTACACGATCCGACAACACAAGACATTTAACGAATCAAAAAATGATTTGTTTAATTAAACGTTAAGTGGCAATTAAATGAATATTGCGTTGTGCCGGCATTATTCTGAAAAATTATTAAATCGTAAGACAACGTTTTCTAATGAAAGTAGTGGTATTGTTTTCCTTGTTGGCTGCCGGGACGTGTGATCTGATAATTGTATATTCGGCAGCAATTTTTCATTTATGCATGTTTCATTAAACACGAAAGAAAAGTTACAACGGTTATGATTTTTATTTAATTTTACTTGTGTTCGAACAAGTGCTTTCTTTGTCGTTCACAGAATGTGTAGAAACTGTCAAAATGTTCTATAGTGCCGAGCGCTTTTCAGCTATATTTACGATAGAATATATGGGCAGTTTCTACACATATTGTATCCAAAAAAAAATCACGTTCGAACACAAGAAAAATTAAATAAAAAGCTTAAACGTAATACCTTGTTTGTCGTCTTTAATGAAACATGTATACATATATATATATATATATATATATATATATATATATATAGTTCATCGAGTCTGAAACCTCAACAGAATGCACTGACGGCCGTTTCGTCAATATTTGGGACTCATCAGCAGTGCGCATCCACTACCGATAATTTGAAACCCTGACAGTTAGGTTGTCAAGCAAAACATCATACCAACTGTTCCAAATGGGCCTCGGTAACGAAGAGATAGCAAACCAGGCTCAATTTATGCGCCGCTCTCTCTCATATATATATATATATATATATATATATATATATATATATATATATATATATATATATATATATATATATATATATATATATATATATATATATATACTGGGTGTAACAGCAAAATTCTTCAAGTCTCGTGACAGCAAAATAGTACAATTGTTAGATTAAACTGTGAACCGTTGTATCTACTAGATTTTTCCGAGGTTTTATAACAAGATTGGACTCTACTGTGAGCAACAAGAATGTATAATTACTCTCTAAGCTTAAGAGAAGAATTGCAATGAAGGATTCAAATAAATTTCAAATATATATATTATTCCAAGATGCATTCCCAACCTATTCAAGATGATCTTCGCCTTCTCTAACCTTCTAACTTTCTTGCGTGAAGTAAAAGTGTGCCACAAACGTTTCATGTATGATTACCTTTTTTAAGCCTTTTTTAACTGCGTTTTAGACGGTCATAGATGAAAATCCTCTCTCACTGGCAAAATATATTATGGATTGGTTTTGATCTTTTCTAATTGATCAATTTAGCACTAAGTTGAAATGATGATGCCTCTTCTTATTGTGACCTTCTGATCCAGTTTTCCTATATACTGTTCCCCTTCATTTACCGTTCTCTTGATGGTTCATTGATGGAGTTTGAAGATGGAAGCCAGAGTATAAATGTTGGTACTATTAGTGAAGGCCATAATAATTTTTTTCCTCTCAACATCGATCATTCGAAAATACATTGCGGCTGACGCAAAACGATTTGTACCTGCTCTTTTCTAGCTGAAGATTTTTCAGGGATTCTTACGAGAAATTGCATGAATATGGTTAAACATCTGATATGAAAACCTGGAAGAAAAACTCAAGCAGTTTAATGTTTATTAGACATTAAACTTTTATATATATATATATATATATATATATATATATATATATATATATATATATATGCGTTTATGTTATCAACCTACGTTGACTTTTATCTTGTTTTGCGTATTCAAGAGTTAATTCATTTGTTATTTTTTTAATGAATATGTTTAGTATGTTGTTTCCAAGTTGAATGTAATTTTATTATATTGGACAGAAATGATGTGTGGTTTCTTACTCTTTATGGTCAATATATATTCACAAATAGACACACACACACACACACACACACACACACATATATATATATATATATATATATATATATATATATATATATATATATATATACATATATATATATATATATATAAATATAACGGTGATTTTATGTATGGATTAATAATAAAGTCAGGCGTGTGTTGAAATTCGAGAGAAAAGATGTATTGAGCAAAAATTTATTTACATCGATTAAATTTAATTACGTAACTCGAAACATTAAAGATGATTTTTATCAATCTAAAAGTACCCGGCTATATATATATATATATATATATATATATATATATATATATATATATATATATATAATGAAAAACTGACCAATTTAAGGTACCATTACAATAATTTATTTCACCAAAATCCTTTTTAAAGGACTCCGGATCATCAGGTAACAATTACAACAACGAAATGAAAGGAAAAATGGGATTAGAAATTGATGGGTAGTGTAATTTTTGTAATTTATTTAACAGAGGGGGTGAGAGTGGTAGGTAAAGAGACAAGGTAGAGCATAGGGAGGTGTTAATTTCATATCTCTCTTAAGCATGCTTTATATTGGGGTAGGAGGGGTGACCGAACCTTGACCTATTTAGATGGTTAACTTAACGGAAATGATATATAGGAATGGGAGGGGAGAAAAGAAAAAGAAAAAGAAGAGGAGACAGACGACAGTAATACAGATATATCTAAATGAGTGTTACGGCAAATAGAGAGGGGGAGAGGGAAGTGAATCGAAAGAGGCTGTAATTTTGTTTTAACAAAATTATGTAAAAGATAGATTTCAATGCCTGATAGAAATTTAGATGTCTAAAAAATGATGAACGTTATCAATTTAAATATTTAATTTTTTAAGTAAATAGTTTATGGTCTTAATATATGTTAACTACTATTAGTATTAGCATATTTATTGAGAACATATTAAAGAAATATTTAAAATTATAATAGTTTATTTACCCGACCAATTGTATTTCTATAATATAGTAAGAAAATTACGGTAACAATAATATCTATATTATTTTTACTTTTAATCTAACTTATGAATGCAATTTTTATTTATTATTATATGGATAAACTTAATTAAGGTTTAGGTTTCATTATTTAATAATATTTGAGGGTAATATTAAAGATTTTGTTTTCTTCTTATATGTATCTCACAAACATATTCATGCAAATCCATATATACATACGTTTATTAACATGCGC